ATTAACTGAAGTAGCACCAACCACACTTTCAGGTAAACTATGTGGAATATTAGAACACATAAAACACGTACAGAATCAGAACATACAACGAAGCCTCATAATAACTGATTCTCTAAGCTCGCTTCAACTTATTGAGCAGATATATACTGATAACCACCTAGTGCACCAAATTAAGCAGATTCTTCACTCATTACAAGCAGACAACCAGGATGTCGTATTCGTATGGGTTCCTTCTCACGTTGGTATCCAAGTCAACGAGAAAGCAGACCATCAAGCAAAACCAGCAGCAAACATGGATCACACACCAACTACAGACATCCCAGGTACAGATATAAAATCTCATCTTAAACACAGAGCTATTCAAATCTGGAGTACCAACTGGCAAAACAACGCATCGAAGCTGCTTGAACTGAAACCTAGATTCGGACCAGGTCGAAGCGGATAATTAAATAAAAAAACATCCCCCTCCCCATACCTGTCCACTCCCGCTATCATTTTAAGGGCAAGTATATCTGGAATCTATGATGTGTGACAGACAGACAGACAGACCGACTGATTTTTCGTGATGTGCATGTCATATAATCCAAAGAAACATAATATTACATTTTCGAAATTGTACGCTGTTACAATACTTCCTCGCCACTGATATAGGAAGTAAAAGACCCTCTTTCCACAAATTTGTATGTTTCCAGGTCCTAGTTGAGCCAAAAGTTCTTTGATCAATTTTTTTGAACGAATTCCAGAAGTTTGCTCCATAGAAAGTTTGCTTAGGTTTTTTATTTGTTAGCCTAACGCCGCGCTCACTCAACATTGAGTAAGAGATTCCAATGCTAGGTCAAGAAACATAATCTTGAAGCCTCGATTTCAAAGTGCTTCTGGTAAGTTACTTCCATGCTACGTCAATCCAGATCCACATACACTCGATCAGACGAATGGCATTATGCAGTGGGTCTCAAAATAACATGCAAATTTTTCGTATACAGGCAGGGTGTTGCATTGGGAGTGGAAGATATTCTAACCATAGATAGGGACCAATAAAATAATGATAAGTAACCTATGATTAAAATCGTTAGTCACATACACCTATATTCTAGATATATGGAGTTTTATCGATTTGACCATTTCTTCACGGCCTCAAAATGTTTCGACCGCCCTATATATTATGAACTTGGTACGTAAACTCAACTTATGCTATGATACAGGCTCGGTCTAGTTAAAATTTTTATCCAAAAACATTCTCTGTATATTGGAATATACAGGGTGGCGCATCGAAAACGAAACGCATTTACTGGCAGCACAGTTTTTTTTTTGGAAAAACGCTCAGACCCGTCGATTTTGTTTTCGAGGGGGACACCAGTTTGGCAAAAAATCACGTTAACACGTGCAGCCCTTTGGGCGGGGGTGACATCAACCCTAAAATCTTAAATGGAAAGGGGGGGTCGGGTGATACCTTATTTTAAAGGTCTTTCAATTCCCTTTATAATGATGTAAAATACATGAGCTTTAGTTCAGTGGTTTTGAAGATTTATTGATTTAAAGCTTTAATAGGTACATCAGATTAGTTTGTACTACTTTCAGAAGAAATTTGTCTAAGAGAATTTACTTAATAAGTAAATGCTTTTCTTCACTACGCCCATGGTTTGTTTATCATTTTGTTGTTGAAAATGGCTATTGATAGCTATTGGAGCGTTTTTTTTTGCAAAACAGTTATTTCTTGAAGAAAGATAAGGAAATATGTCGTACTTATTTTAAATAGGAATTTAGTACATAGTTTGCGATTGATTTCACCAAACTTTGTTGCTAAAATAACTTGTAATGCTTTATTACATAAATTAACCATGGTATATTCCACAGCAGAAAGAGTTGAAATTATCGAAATATTTTTCGGAAATAATCAGTGCGCTAATAGAACAGCAGAAATATTTAATGAGCGGCATGAGAACAGTAACGTGCATCGAAAATATGTTCTAGAACTTGTAGCTAAATTTGGGGAAACTGGGTCAGTGGCCAATAAAAAACGCAACATTGAAAATCCCATAAGGAACGAAGCAATGGAAGTGGGGGTTTTAGGGCAAGGATTAGGATTCTAAAGGCCCATAGTTTTCATCCGTATAAAATTCCTCTGGTACAAAAACTTAATGAAGACAATTTTGATCGGCGATTACAATTTTGTGAAGTAATCAGTGAACGAATTATAAACGATGAACATTTTCTATTCAACACTTGCTTTTCCGACGAATGTTCCTTGTTCTTAAATGGCGTAGTAAATCGTCATAACTGCCGATATTGATCCGATTCTAATCCCAGAATTTATCATGAGGTACATACACAGCAGCCACAAAAATTAAATGTTTGGGCTGGTATTTTTCGCGATCATTTAGTTGGTCCTTTTTCCTTACAAAAAATCAGAATGATCGGCGGTACATTGCGAATAGGTTGATGTTCCAACAGGATGGTGCCCCACCACATTACGCATTACGTGTTCGACAATATTTAGATCAGACGTTTCCAGATCGATTGATTAGTAGAAGACGCGCCATTGAATGGCCCCCAAGATCGCCAGATTTATCACCTTTGGATTTATTTATGTGGGGTCATTTAAAAAGCAAAATCTATGCTACTCAGCCAACATCATTAGAAGACCTGCGACACAGATTTGTGAATGAGTGCCTTCAAATTACTCCTCAAATATTGCAAAATGTGCGGCAACGTTTTGAGCAAAATCTTTATTATTGCATGGAGAGTCATGGTGGCCATTTTCAACATTTACTTGCCTAATGGGTCAGTTTATTCTTCATTTTTAAATTACTTTGCTGCCAAAGGTATTGATCACTAATGATGATGTATTAGTTTTATTTAAGCTTTAAATCAATAAATCTTTAAAATAAGGTATCACTCGACCCCCCTTTCCATTTAAGATTTTGGGGGTGGTATCACCCCCGCTTAGGGGGCTGCACGTGCTAACGTGATTTTTTGCCATACTTGTGTCCCCCTCGAAAACAAAATCGACGGGTCTGAGCGGTTTTCAAAAAAAAACTGAGCTGCCAGTAAATACGTCTGTTTCGTTTTCGATGCGCCACCCTGTATGAACTTTGTTTAAATATTTGGAAAAAGCTTAGAAACTTCATTCAAAGTATTCACTTTTCTTATTTGAGCAGATGATTTTTTATGAGCTGTATATACTGATTTTGTTCATACAAGGATAGCTATTTTATGGTTTACCAATTTTATAGCTTACTATTTAAGACGCGCTACATTAGTATGTACTAGATTTACTCTAATATGAACAAAATGAAGTTTCTATGCTCTCTTCAAATATCTAAACAAAGTTCATAAATTCCAATATACAGGGTGGTGTTTTAGGTGGAACGGTTTTGCCAAAGCGGGTGGCACAGAACATATGGCAGAAGGGTCTTTAGTGGATTGGGCTGAATATGTAGTAAATTATGATGTTCTGATAAAATGTATCCATATACATAATGTTTTCTAATGGACAGTTTCAGAGATATCAGGGACCAAAGATGAAGATAATAAGTACCAAGTAGTCCATTTTCTTCACAATTTTGTGTATATATTTTAGAACAGACGACTTTTTTATAATTGTCGTATTTTAAAATAACAATTTTTCACTGTATTAGAAAGAAGCGCGAAAGCCAATGTACCTATGGAGTGTTCATTTTTTTGTTTAGGTAGGTATACGTGTGCTTATGCCATCGTGATTCTCAAGCGTCTCTCGTTCTAGTCTATGTTATTCACTATTATATATTTTCAGATAGACGACGATTTCAGTGTCACCAATGCAAAAAATCTTACACCATGGCTAAGAATCTGCAACGTCATTTGACCGTGGAGTGCGGTAAAGAGAAGCGGTTTAAATGTTTTGACTGCAGCAATACTTTTTACTACAAGAGGGATATGATGATCCATTGCTACAGGAAACATAGGGGTCGCAACTATTTAGATGAAGAGCGCTTGAACTATAACTTGCCCTACGAAAGTCCGTCTCTCGATTATAGTTAGATGAATTCAAATTAACATATTTGACAAAAAATTTGTTTCCCTCAGTACCTGGATGCACGAATGTTACATTGATGTAGTATGAAAACGCACGTTGTTCATCAATTGATGAAGACGGAACTAAACACTGGCTGATGACTTGCAACGCGCATAACATGGGTATTCATTTGAAAATGGATCAGAAAACGAAACTGGCACATTCCTATACAATACAGAATTTACCGATTTGTGTTGGTTTACGACGAATGTAATCAATATTCTACTGTTACTTGGCCAGTGTGTTCAGAAAATTTTCACTGGATGTTTCAATCCCCGGCTCGCACACTAGGAGACCTAGATGGAAATCACCAAATATTGCTAAGTATTTACGAGCAAAACATGTCACAGGGTAGCACTTTAAAGTTTCTGAAATGAAAAGTATGCCTGAGTAGCTGCAAGGGGAGGTTTTGGGGGGCTTAGATTAGCACACCTCATGAAAATTCGGTTCATCTCTAAAGTTTGTATAGCATGGTTTTCTATAGATTGTATAGGATTTTTAAGATTTGTCCCGCAGAAATGCTTGCACAGCACGCATTTTTATGTTGCCCATCAATTTATCGACTGTGCGTCCTTGCCCTTATAGTTAGATGTATTTGGTTTCAGGAAATGGAGTAAAGGTTTCATTTTATTTAGTTTTTTCGACTGTGGCGTGGCTATAACATCTCTTCCCTCATGGAAATCTAAAAGGGAAAACGACGTTGGCCTGCGTTGTAGAAATGGAATTTACCTTCATGAATATTCAGATTAGAACTTATTCCTGATTTTTAAGCAAAAACTATGTTAATTCACACAACAACATGGTTACAAAAATTATATGTATGTAATGTATTTGCACAAAATAAATGATATTTGTAGTAGTTCAATTCTTTTAAAAATGTATATTGCACTATAACTTGAAGAAATGTGAAAGAATTATCCCAAAATATACATCAATTAAATATTTTAGGTAGATACATGCCGGGAAGGATAAGCTGCCCTAATTGTACAAAGTCGTATCACAGCGTTCCCGCATACAAGAGGCATGCTAGGTATGAATGTGGGAAACAGCCTCAGTTCAATTGTCGATACTGCCCCAGAGCGTATACGCAGAAATACAACTTGAAGGTGCATCACTTGAAACATCACAGCGCTTTTTTATTTTGGTGAAGATTCAACGTCTTATTGCATAATTATTTGCATAAAATGGAAAACTGGAACACAGTTTTGATTATAACATATTCTTTTATGGACAAACGTTTATCTTGGATATAGATGAAACAACAGCAACAACTTGTTGATCGTGCGCCTCATAGTACAGTGTTAGAATTTGTTATCGCTTGATCGAAATGAAGGAGAAATCTGACTTCCAATGATGACCTTTGACTTTGAGCTTGACCTTTAAAGTCTATACTCGAGATATATCTTCTGCAAGCAACGTTTTTGTATTTAATTCTGTAAAAAAGAATTACTACGATATTGATGTTTTGTACGCCGATCTTCTTTCTCTTCCATAGAGCGACTATTCCTAAGAAGATTAACCTCTCCTGATCTGAACTGTTTAAATGTTGGTGAAAGAGCGTACTAAAAATATTTAATACCACCATTATTTTTTATCGCATACTTATTTCGGGATAGCACATTCACCATCTTTTGATATTACATTTTCCATATATGAGACAAAAGGTACTTGTGATTACCCAAACAATAACAATATTTAAGATACTGAAAACAGTACTATAAGTATGTAAAGTGTAAAAAGTTTGTCGACTTCATCGTTGTAATTTCTGAAGGTGCCGTTCCGCACAGTGACAGCGACAGGAGACAGAGACACGAAGCGGCGACGCGCGCCCACTACTTTTACTTCCCGCGCCTATTGGCAAATAGACGTCCCCGTTCATTTACCCTTCAAATATCTTTAATAGTCTTCTTGCTAGCTTCTCAAATAGCCGGTTTACCAACATTGCATCACTTTGTATAGGGTCTCCCAAACTCGCATGGAGAAACATTCCCCGACAAACAAACTGTTTAAGTTTATCCTGCACCGTCCATGTGGCAATGCATTTCAGATATGTTCAGGATTATACAACATGTCTCATTACTGGGTTACTTATCAAAATTATTTTTCACTGCAATAGGGTATGGACTGCCCAATTTTTAGACCCCGAATCTCGGAAACTAGTCGTGGAGAAACTCTGGCCTCCTGAACTCTTTTGTTGTACGTTTAAAAATCTACGACACACTAAATTGAAAAATAAGATCACCAAAATCCGTTTCCAGTACGCTCGATAGAATTTCTGTCACTGACTGTTTTTATTGAAGCAACGGTGAAATTGCATTCATTGATTCAGTCCCACTATATACTGGATAACTTGAACTTTCTTCATAAAAAACACTAGAAAGATCCTCCTGTCTGGGTCACCGGTCGCCATCGCGTCGCGGAATGGCGCATTAAGTGAATGTGTAGTTTGAATCTGCAAGTAAAGATCTTTACAAAGGATTAATTCAGTGCCTTCCAGAGAAAAATTGATCGAGATTTTGAAAAAATGTAATATTTTAAAATCAAAAATTACCGGAAAACTTGTCTTATGTTCTCGTAGGACTTAAGGGATTAGTTTATAGTATTCTTAATTTATTTGTGATATGTTACTGTATTAATTGAATATGACGTATATCTCGAAATGACTGTATACGATTCTAGTCTCAGTTATGCTAAAATACTCTAAATACGTAGAATGTATAGCACAAACGACTAATAGCTGTGCGAGTAGCTGTGTTATTAGTTTAGACAGATTGATAACTATGCTTATTTTTATTGTGATACTTAGTTGTAGCTAACTTTTCTTATATGTTTGTTTTTATATAGGTGTGTAATGACTTCCATTAAAAGGTAACTTTACCTCAAACAAAACTGATTGCAGTCATTCATACCAAAAAAGTTTGACTTTGAAACGATTTGAATAAAATTTCCTCTCTATAGCATAAAGGATTCCAAAGGTTTTGGCATTTGATCAGTGATACCTTAAATTTTGAAGGTTAAGTCATTTCTACAGTGTTCCCAAAATCGCTTCTCTATACAGGGATCTTGGCTCCTAGTATACCTACAGCAAAAGTTGAATGGGGAGGGTTTTAAAGGAAACTTGCATTCAGTAGCCGGCTTCAGATTCACGATCGGTCAATTGGTTTTCGAAATATCGACGGAAAACCTAAAATGTCGAATTTTGTTTTTTGACAGTAAATCCGAAACGATTAATTTGACAGCTGTCAAAATGTGACATTATTCGAACATTTTCTTAAGGCAAATAAGATAACGTGTATGACATGTCTCAATCGTCTTTTGTTTTCTAGCAACCTGCCTCAACTTTCATTTTTCTTACGGCCGCCATATTGGATTCTAAGATTTTTGAAAAGAGCGTAAAATTTTCAGCCTAGCGATGTCTCACAAGTGCATAAAAGATTGAAGGCTCACCGAAACATCATTACACGTAACGATAACATTAGACTGGAAATTTTACACTCTTGCTTTAAAACAAAAGACGATTGAGACATGTCGTACATGCTATCTTTTTTTTATTATCGGACAGCTGTCAAATTAACCGTTTTGGATTTACTGGCAAAAACAAATTCCGCTATGTTCGATTTTCCGCTGATGTTTTCAAAACCAATTGATTGATTGTACATCGGCTATCGAAAGCACTAAGTTTCCTCTAAAACTTTCTCCATTTAACCTTTGCTGTAGGTATAACAGGAGCCGAGGTCCCTGTATAGAGAAGCGAATCTGGGACACACTGTATATGCCTTTTCGATTAAACTGAGGTTGTAGAGAAACTAGTACATTCTAGAGTTAGCAAACAAAAAGATTTCTGTGGAAGTATGTTAAGGAAAAAGTAAGCTTTTTTAGGTTACGAATCCTTACAGACGTCGATTTTGACTATTGAGGGCGAGGTAGAAAGGAGATATGCGTTTCTCGACTTTTTTTATCTCTTTCAAGTAATTTCCAGGAAGTGAGGTAGACTTTATAATGTGTTGCGATTTACTTTGTAGAACATATCACAAACATTTTAGTAACAACAATTTTTAGATCTGCACACTCACGTCTTAGCAAGCTATACCGGGCCACAGTACAAGCGCCGTAGGTGCATCGGATGTTACCAGAAGTTGTCATCATATTTTGGACCTGCTGAAGCATCTAGGAAAACAAAACAGGTCAACACATATTGTGCAAACTGTTATAGGCATCCTCACATGTGTAGGAACTGTTTCAATACGAAGCATCGCGCTGATGATAACCAGGAAAATCATTTATGGCCTTCATAATATGTAAATAATTTCCATATTTTCTGAAACTATTATGTCTAGTCTTAATTCATTTATTGTTAATGATATGAAAATTAAAGGCAGTACTGGTAATTCAGTCCACTCCAATCTATATATATCGTTGAAGTGTAAGTCCTGAGCCCCTGACGGTGCGTTTCAGTTACAACAAATCACGTGCCAAGAAGATGTGCCAGAAATGGAAACTGTATGCAATATGTTAAACCGTGGCATGAGCTGCACATCTTGTAGAATCAATCTTGTATGACTGAAGCAAATCTGCAGGGCTTAACTGGAGCAACATACGCCATACAATCTAAGGGTCTGTTGCAACATGTTGCAGTGCTGTCATTGAAACCACAGACACAACATGCGCTTAGCATATATGCCTGCAACTCTTTTGTATAATAATGTATCTTATTCATCATATTTGCTCTCCAATCCGTTTATACGGATTATATACTCGGTCACAAAGAAAATAGGACACTCAGTCAAACTGATGTTGTTTGAATGATATCTTGTATACAGTTACATTTGACCAAGAAGACGTAGTGGTTAAATTTTGTAGTGAAAATGTTTGCTGTATCGCTCGATTTTACTAATATGAATTCGCTCAGTAGTTGGGGAATGTTTCTGATGAGATTATGTTTTCTTAAGGTATTTCATCCAAACCCAGCTGTACGTGGTACAGAAAAGCTGTTAGCGTTTGTGGATAATGAGGTAAATAGGCCACTTATCGTTCTTTCTATGCTTGCCCCAAAAAAATGGTACATTATGAATGTACCTCCTCTTCTACTCTCACACAGACAAAAAGGCTACAATTAGCGCTCCCGTCAGCTGTGAGGGAGGCTCAAAGACAAGGTTTGCGAGAAAAGCTGACAATAGCAAAGCCAGAAGAGAAAAACAAACTAGAACACATCAAAATTATACAAGTTTTATTGCGCATTTCCATTATATTTTAAAGAAAAACTAACAATTATACACACTACACTTGTCCGCGGTTCTGTTTTAGGGATGCAAGATGTACTGCGGCTGGCCGGGTCATGCATCCGTATTGTTTTGCTGTTACCAACTTTAATATGAACTACATTCCAAGGTCATTTGGATTCTCGGTTTATCAGAGAGCGCAGATTATGCTATAGTCATGCCATAAGTTCTGTCCCTCGTTTTCAAACAAGTGTAGACCTGTTAATACTTGTCCGATTGTTTACATTGTGGTGTCAGTTGATTAAGCGCTTTTCGGGTAATTACATATACCTCAGTTTGTATTGATTTCTCGAAGCATAACGATGGAGTGGGGCAAGGCAGAGAACCGTATTGCAGTGATAGCTTTACATAAGTGTAATCACAGTGCTAGTCAGATTTTTGAACTCTTACGCGGCCTTCAAATATCGCGTAAATTTGTGTCTAGGACCATTCAGCGGTACAATGAGACGTCCTCTGTTGATGACAGGCCAAGAAGCGGAAGACCTCGTCAAGTAAGGACTCCAGCAGCCATCAAAGCCGTAAAAGCCAGGATTCAAAGGAATCCACTCCGGAAGCAGAAGATCCTATCCAGGGAAATGAAGATTCCTGTCCGGACGATGTCGCGCATCATTAAACAAGACCTAGGGCTAGGGGCTTACCGGAGACGTACGGGCCAGCGACTTACGGCCACCTTGCGACACATCAGGGCGACAAGATCCAAGAAGCTCTTGGAGAGGTACGCAGCTGGGGGATTCCGAAAGATTTTGTTCACGGATGAGAAAATCTTCACCATAGAAGAAAAATTCAACCGACAAAATGACAAAGTGTATGCAAGGAGTTCACAGGAAGCTTCGGAGATCATTCCGAGAGTTGAGAGAGGCCACCACCCTGCGTCAGTCATGGTTTGGTGGGGGGTGTCCTACGAAGGGGTCACTCAGCTCCATTTCTGTAAACAGGGCGTGAAAACAAAAGCGGCAAACTATCAGAGCGACATACTGGATCCTATCGTCAAGCCTTTAAGTGGTACATTATTTGCCAACCAACACTGGGTCTACCAGCAGGATTCCGCCCCCGCTCACAAGGCTAAGAGTACGCAGCGCTGGCTGGAAAGCAATGTGCCAGAGTTCATTGCTGCGGAAGATTGGCCCTCAGGGAGTCCGGACCTCAATCCTTTAGACTACAAGTTGTGGGACCTGCTAGAGCAGTTGGCCTGCTCCAAAGCCCACCGTAATATCGAGTCCCTGAAAGCGGATTTGATCCGATCAGCGGCAGCTATTCCTTTGGAAGCTGTGCGTGCAGTGATAGATGAGTGGCCCGCGAGATTGAAGCAGTGTGCGAAGGCCAAGGGGGGACATTTTGAATAAAACTGTTTGATTATGAATTCTAAAAATGTTGTCGAATAAATAATATCTTTCATATAAATATATCTTATCTTGTTTCATTTTTATCATGAGATTATCATGGGACAGAACTTATGGCACGACTACTATTACGTCGTTATATTCTTATTCCAATACAAGAAACGTTAAATGGTTAATAGGTCCATGGTTCATAGTCCTACACCATTATTACGTAACTGCAACATGAAAACGACGGCGATGGTCCACCGTTGCCAAAAGGGTCAGACAGATTTGCAACTTTTTCCAAAAATATCTCCCAAATTACTCTTCAATAATGAATGAGGGGGTTGGCTTCGAAGCGATTGCTCTTTCAAAGTTATTCTAACTGCTTAAGGTTTCCAAGCTGCTCTTCAGTAACTTAGTTGAGTTTTTGGAGTAACTCAGGAGTGCCAGCACCAATATCGTTCCACTGCAATTTGTATTCCAATGCACTTTTTCTAGAGCAGTTTGGGAGCATGTCACCCTTAAACCAAAAACCACTGAAAAGAAGCTAAGACGAGCAAATCGGCGCAATATAGCGGAAAAACGAGTGATGGCCTAGCTCTTTCTCCCTAAACACGTGTACAAGGCAAGGATAGCTATAATATTCGGCAAGTTCACATAGTACTGTTATGTTTTTCTCTGTAGTATGCCTGTTGAATCAGGTCTACCAACCCGCAATTGACAAGAAGATGTGAATGTCTTGTAAAGATAAACGTGACCACGAGTAAATGAGATAATACAGAAAGATAAAATTATTATTCAGCCGTGGACGCTTTTGCGTGGTAAAAAATGACTGTAAAAATATCCAACAATTCCAGTTTTTCTAAAAAAAAATGTTCTAGAACATTATATCTCCAAACAAATCCCAAGGGAAGGGAAAATGCCCTAGTTTGGGCGGGGGAATCCCTAAATATAGCAACCCTGCGATTACGGGTACAAGTTTAAAAACAGTACTACTAAGGCCCGGTTTTTCATTGAGAAGTTAGCTTTCAAGTTTGAGTAACCCTTGGAAGCTGAGTTGTCCGAAAATTCGTTTTCTGCTTAAGTTCTGCCGGTACTCATTAATACGCCAATACCGCTTCTATATATGAGCTGCCAAGAAAAATAGATTAGATATAGCGGTGTATTTACAACTGTATATTTTACCAATACCTTGTCCTGTAATTAAAGTTAGGTCAAACTTGGGATTCGGAAGCACTTGTTGAGGTTTGACTTCCGGTTTGCAGTGCTATTGAACCTGCTCTTAAAAAACCGGGCCTAAATAGTAAAGTATTAATTTATAAACTTTATTATTTTATTATCGCTTATGTTTGTGACGGTTGTTTTATAAGATAACGTTTTTTAGACTTGGTTTTCTTCGAGTGTCCAAGATGTGGGAAAAAATACTTTCACAAATCCTCCCTCAATAAACACCAGAAATGGGAATGTGGTATAGAGCCGCAGTTCAAGTGCGAGATTTGCAGTTATCGTGCCAAACAAAAAATTAGTTACACAAATCATATGCTTTCCAAACATGGAATTTTTTCTTAGCTTAAAATTGTACCACCTCCATTATTATCCTATACCTTCTTTTGCTATGACTGAATATATTAAGTTTCTGTATATAACAAAAATACACATACTATGGTTCGTTGGTAAACTAATCCAAAACAATAAAAGATGAAACTAGTCTGCGTTTTTATTGTGGAAATTGTTCTTATAGTACATATCTAGGTTCGAAGAATTTTGAGACACTTCTTGACTCTCTTTTTCTTGAAGACTCAATCTTGGGATGTTTCATGGTATATGATCAACTCAGCGCTGAATATTACACGTTCGAAAGAATATTTCTTTCTTATTGGTGTGAGAAATAAAAATTAATAAAAAGGTAATTGCAATTAAATTCACAAAGAATAAGTAAAAATCTAATAATAAATTATTTTCAGATGCACAGCGACAATATCAGTGTCCGAAATGTATAAAGAGCTACACGATGCCGTGTAACCTTCGAAGGCATATGAAGAACCAGTGTGGGTCATTGAAGAAGTATAAATGCCCCTACTGCAAGCTAGAATCAAAAATGAAGTACGACATGAAGAAGCATGTATCGAGGATGCATCCTGAATCTATTGAAGAGTTCTGTAGGTTGTACAAGTCTACATTGTATAAGGATCAGTGTGCCAAGTAAAACAAATAAATCCAATTTTATTTATATAAATGCGAAAATCGAAATCTTCCTTTTTTATTACACTCAACCATTCCACGTTTCCATAAAATGTCATGTCCAATATTATCGAATGCAAACTCAACAGATTATACATATTACACATAATTTGACTGTTTTATAACTTAACCGACTCGACGCCGCTAGCCCCCACCTACTTCCTGTGTTTCGCACCTCCACAAGCTAGTCAATGCGTGCAGGTGATGCACAAAAGAAATAAAATAGCCTTCTGGGTTTTATGAGTTTTTAACGATCGCGTATAAAAGATGTACAGATACTATAAGTGTGTCATGAACTATGCTCCAAGGATGGTAGTTGCAGAGCCGCAGAACGTGTACGTGTGTTTGTACCACTTATCTCCATGACTCCTATACTCTATAACTAAACAGTGATTCCAGCTGTAGTCATTACATGGTTTTCTAAAAGCAATATATTGGAAGATTAAGAACCTGGTGTAATCCCGTCGCACGAGCTTGTTGTCCACATACTATACTGATAAAATCTAATTGCTAGACTAAAAGCATTAAGTGACGGATTCTCCAAGAAAATGCTCAGCCCTATGCTGTACTTGAGGGCTTATATACAATTCCCGATGCAACCAGGTGGGAGCGCAGTAGTTGCCTTAGTAGAAGTAATACAAACTGGATTTATTTTTCTTTTGAACAGAATTGTTTACTCTCAAACATGGCATACACCTTCTAAATAAAGGTCGCTCCTCAACCTTCCTCACGCTTACTCCTAGGCATAGGATTTCGTATTCTCAAAATTTCTAGAGGAAAAGGATGGGTCCAAGAGGTGGCATTGCAATGTCAACTCGTAAATAGTTGTGACCGTGTGTTTGTGTAAGTTTGGTAGATTATTTCGTTATTATATCTAAAAACGTTATTTATAAAAATTATAGACAAATATACGCTCTTAACTTAGAAAATATGTCGCATTCTACAGGCTCATTCATAGCTACGTGGCAACACAAACATGCATTTTCAAGTGGAATGGTTTGTAAGTCTTACTATATTCTCAAAAGCCGTTTGAAAGAAGAAGTTTGATACAGCATACTTTAGGCCTCGTATCTCTACTTCTGAAGCTACAAGATATTTTCTCTCATATTTGACATCTGAGTCAATCATTTTTGGTGATAGAGTCGCGAAATATATGTCAAAAGGAGCTTCATATCCCATAGTCTCTCAATATTCAAACATTTTTAATAATACATATGTTCATCATCTAAACACGGTGATTGTTTAGGCAAGACGTATTTTCTCTCAAAAAATTCAAACACCCTATATGTTTTTACGGTTTTGGGTTATTCTTTTTATAGGTTTTCCATTGTATAAAATTTTTGGGTGCTCAAATCGCTAAATTTTTGAGTTATTTGCAGTTTTGCAGAAACTACAATTCAAAATAGATAAACACCATATGATTCGTGAAAACTGAGGGTTTTTTAGAGAATGGGAAAAAGCGTTCCTTGGAATTACCTCCCATCCACTAAAATCCTCCATTTTCACGAATGTGGTATTTATTTATTGTGAATTATAGTCTCTGACAAACTGTAAATAACTTAAAAAATTAGTAGTTTGATCACCCAAAAATGTTATACTAGAACAAGCTTTCAAAGAGACAAGCCAAAACTGTAAAACTAGTATAAAAGTTTTAAATTGTTTGAAGAAATGTACATGTTTTAAAGTCACTCTGTTGCGTAGATAGATATGTGCATAAAGTTTGAAGCATGTTTAAACGTAGAGAATCACTAAATTATACCCTGTAATCCAAAAAGTGTATGTTTTTGTTGCCACTTTTATAAATCTCCTTCTAGAGAGCGGCATATTGCATATAATCTTTGTAAATAACTTTTTAGATATCTTTCATAATAACGGAGAAACCGACCAATCCCACATTAAAAACTCACACAGTATACCCATTTTTCGCAGTCACGGCTTTCAACTGAATTCGGCATTTTCTGGTGGAATATCTTAATCAATGATGAAAGAGAAAGCTGTCAATGCGACATTTCTCCGTAGGTGGCGTTCGTAGCATGTAGACTATCCGAGCTGTAGTAATTTGGGAGTGTTGGTATCACTCGACCTTTTGATTCATGAACCAATATTGGCATTCTGCAGTATATTATACTGATTTAACGTATCTGTTTCAGTACGGACCGACTTGTTCAAGTGCAACAACTGTGGAAAAACGTACTCACACAAAGCTTCGTTCTACAACCATCAAAAGTACACTTGCGGAAAGGCGCCGAATCTGTTCTGCTCCCAATGTTCATTTAAAACGAAGTATTTGCAGCATATGCAATATCACATGAAGCACAAGCACGAGATCCACGTGACGACGACGGAATTGAAGAATACGCTGATCAATAATACGATGTTTTGAAAACCATATAAGAATATGTTTTACCTTTTACTCATAACAGCTTTCAAAATATTTGGTCATTTTTTAATAAAACTAGAAATCATGTCTTAAGATCTTTTGAATTGCGTTCATTGAATTAAGAGGTTTTCTAGAGTCACAATTTATTGGCATCTTAAATAGAAAAGACCCTATCACTGTGAGGATCTAAAAAATGTTTCAAAATTGACATGTAGTGCTTTTTCATAAATCATGCTTATAACATTATGTAGTTCTAAAACATCAATGTCCATTTTTTTTTTAGATAAAATGTACGTCTGTCAAGAATGCGGCAAAGGATATACACTAAAAGTAAACCTGAAGTCTCATCAAAGGTACGAATGCGGAAATAAAGAGAAGCAGTTTAAATGCCTTTATTGCAGTTACGCAGGCTCAAGAAAGCACCATCTGGAGACACATTTACTCAAGATACATAACGTGAGCCTTAGACAGTAGTTGAAACAGTTTTGAAGGATGAACTGTTTTTGTTTTTAAACAATGTTCAAGACATATACATACTACAAACCTGCTACTTTAAGTACAAATTTATTTTATTTATGAAATGCCGATGGTATGCACGGTTCTGCGATAGCTGTTTATCAATAAATGGTGAATATTCTACCGATAAAATTAAATCTACAGGGTGTCCCAGTGAAAATTGAGCCTCCTTTACCGTTCAGAAAAGTTCTTTATAAAAGTTGATGAAAAGTTTTTTTACAATGTCTTTTTTATATATCAGAAAGGTGCGACCCAATCCAGTTGTATTTTTTTAATGGAATTCCTGATTCTTGTATTTCAAGTATAATTAACCATATTACCTATACTTAGAATCAGAAAAAAGCAAACTGGTTTGAACTCTGTTACATATGAATAAATGACGCATATAACTTAGATGTTCGACCAAACTAACGAAAATAATATGGTCTGAATTGCATATTTTCAGACCTAGTAACCTGCCCAAAGTGTGGAAAAGGATACAAGAACATGAATTGCGTGAAAGCTCATGTATATCAAGATTGTGGAAAACAAAAAATCTACAGCTGTTCTACTTGCAAGGCTACGTACAAAAGAAAGTTCCATTTGAAAGAGCACATTCTAAGGAAGCATAGTACAAGTCCAAACAAGTGATTCGACGTTATTTTAAAGACTTATAGTGCAAAGTTATAGTTTAGTTCAATCTGTTACAATCTCAAATACAAAAATAAAAACTAAAATACATTACAACTTAGTTATCCTTAACGTTTTTTTTTCTCTGCAATATCCTAGGATATAAAATTAAATTCTTAAACATGTTGGATGCGAAATTTTTAAACTATGGTCAAAGAAATTATCTTACATATTAGTGCTAAAAAATGAACTGCATTGTTCGCAATGGACCACTCAAACCGAATGTTTGTCGCGGACTGCTTTATAGTGTCTTTGAGGACCTTCTCATTGAAGAGTTCGTAGGGTCTATTCAAATTTTTATTAGATAGGATTTTGGTATACTGAACTGTCTATATTTTTAGTTGGTTTCACAAAACATTGCCCCAATTGTGGCAGAAAATACAAGAATCAAGGCTGTTTGAGTGCTCATTTATCACAAGATTGCGGGAAAGAAAAGACTTACTGCTGCACCCACTGTCAGTCTACATTCCGTAGAAAGTATCATTTGAAGGCGCATATAATACGAAAACATCCTGAGATTTACAATTCTGAATTGTATTAAAAATAAAGGATGATTTGTACGGTTTAATTTTATTTTATACGATCGGCCATGTTTATGTATTCCTTTCCGCTCCAATTGGCAATTGGTCAACACCAAGAATTTGCGAAGAATTTCATCAACATTTCTTGAATGTTACGTGACATGGACAGGGTGGCATACTTAGAATGCGAGTTACTGTATCTGGGACCCTATCCATCGTTGAGGCTTGCGGAAAAAAGTTCTTACTAAAATGGCCAAGAGAAATACCTGGAAAATATTTTCAAGTTTCTGAAATTGCCCCTAAGGGGCATAACAGCAATCTTCTGTCAATTCTAATACATTAACCAAACAGAAAAATACGTGAACTTTAAAGTCGAGGATAATGTAAACTTTTTTGTTTGACAATTTTTGCTGTATCTATAACAATAAAATGGTGGAGCAAATGTTTTCGTAAAAAGCACCCTGTATCTTTGAAACAGCTAAGCCGATTCTAACAAAATTGGGCTAGCCGAAAAGAGCTTTTCTTGGGCTACAAATGTTATAATATTTGAGGTTTTGTTATTTTACATATGGACGATAGAGGGCTTTTTCGACATTTCGACAGAAATGGTTAATTTTATACGGATATCCCTTACATTTGTATTTTTTAAACAAATTTTTCTTTGATTCCCTTTTATTCATCTGAATAAAATCAACCTATTTGAAAATAGCGCTAAAATGTAAGTAAGTAATACTAATAACAAAATTCATATTTTTTGTTCATATGGGATATTCGAAAAAGACAACTAATAGAAGCAGGCAGTGGAATACAACAAAACAAATAACTAATCAAAACATAAATAATCTTCAAATTGTCAATAGTTGTCAACAGTTTCGCGTTACTTTAAGCAATTTTTGTGCTTACCAAATGCGTTTTATGAACGACAAAGCTGTTGATATGCTTGCAATTTATTTTGAGCGTCTTCAGAATGCCGCAGTAGCAAAAAGAGATTAATCAACTCGATATCCAAATCGGCGTCTTTCCTCGACCAGTAGCAAGCTTACGAACCAATGGTAGTTTTCGGCCTACGTTTCCACGGCAGAGAATTGGAAGAACACAAGAAAATATTAACCGCGTATTGGGATATACAGGGTTTGTCCGGAAAGTAATAGGACTGAGTCGATTTAAAAAAAATTATTGAGCCAATCGTTACAATCCTTTAAGAACTTTCAAAACAGGCTCCTTCTGCGTCGATGCAGCGCTGCCAGCGCGATTTCCAAGCATTGAAGGCGTTACGGGAGGCATTCTCCGGAATAGCCTTGAGAGCCGCGGTGCATGCTGCTTGGATCCCCTCTGTCGTCTCAAAATGCTTGCCTTTCATCGGCCTTTTCAGGTGAGGAAACAAAAAAAAGTCCGGCGGGGCCACATCTGGGCTGTAGGGCGGCTGCGGAAGCGTTGGGATGCCGGCCTTGGTCAGGTAGCTGTTCACAAGAAAGGCGGTGTGAGCCGGGGCGTTGTCGTGGTGCAACTTCCAGTCGGCTGCGATGTCTTGTCGGACCCGACTGACCCTTCGTTTGAGTCTCCTGAGCACTTCCACGTAAAACTTGGCGTTGACGGTTTGTCCAGGAGGAACAAATTCATGGTGGATGATGCCTTTGATGTCAAAAAAGACAATGAGCATCGTTTTCACTTTGGATTTGCTCATTCTTCCCTTTTTTGGGCGAGGAGACGCCGTCGTGTGCTACTCGGAAGATTGCCTCTTTGTCTCGGGATCATACTCAGAGATCCACGACTCGTCACCTGTGATTACGTTATTCAAAAATTGGGGGTCACTTTCACACATGTTCAAATTTTCTTGGCACACTTCCACTCGCCGCAATTTCTGGTCGTCAGTGAGCACTTTTGGGACCATCTTCGCGCACACCTTGCGCATGCTTAAATGCTGTATCACAATGTCATGAACCACAGATTTTGGTAAATTTAACATCTGGGCAATTAAGCGAATACTTAGTCGACGGTCTGAGTTCAAAACGTTGCGAACACGAGTCACATTATCGGTGTTTGTCGAAGTCGAAGGTCTTCCAGCACGGTATTCATCAGCAACCTCTTCCCGGCCCTCCAAAAAGTCCTGGTGCCACCGAAACACACCACTTCTTGCTAAAGCAACACCTGGGTAAGCCTGCTTGATCATATCAAACGTATCTGTCGCAGATTTACCGAGTTTCACACAGAAATTTAATCGCGTACCTCTGCTCTAAAGAACGCTGAATTTTCGGCTTGCATCACTTACAGAAACACGTCGCGCGAAAATGCCTGTCCTGACTCTCCAAGTGCTCGGAGGCAACTGAACAGCCGCTCATTCGTTAGCTAGGTACGCCCTCTACCGAATCCAGTCCGGACAAACCCTGTATGAGAGGTAATCCTCATGTAGGCACAAGGGTATTATCCCTTGAGTTGGGCCTATCACGAACAACGGTTCCAAATATTTTGAAGGACCATAGGCAAGTTCTAATGGTCATCAAAATATAGGGATTTACTTAAATTTAACTTTTTTTAATTACTTTTAGAATGCATCCATATCATGTCGTTTTGCATCAATCCTTGAAATATGAAGACTTTGATCGGAGGTTGAACTACTGCCATCCGATGTTAGGCACGATACGCGAAAATAGAGAATTTTTGTTTCAAATTCTTTGGAATATGCATTATCGATCTGTAGAAAATCCGCATCGGTTGCGTGAACTTTAGCTCTAAGGGCGTTGGAGTTTGAATGTGTGGTGTGGCATACTAGGAGGCAGAATTATTGGCCATATTTTTCGAGCAATCTTTATTTTGATGAATAAAAAAGTACTATTCCAAACAAAAATTCTGAAAACAAATTGAGGGATTACCGTATAAAATTTTCGTTGGCCTAAATTTTACATTAGAAACAACTTATCGAGATAAAATTTTAGCGAGCTTGTTTATAAATCATTTAGCTACCTTTTCATAAAAATAAATCATATCAATGCATTCAATTTTTTTGATAAAATTAGCCTTTTCTGTCGGAATGTCGAAAAAGCCCTCTAGCGGCCAGATGTGAAACTAACAAAGCTTCATATATTATAACTTTTGTAGCCCAAGAATGGCTCTTTTCAACTAGCCCAACTTTGTTACAAGATGTTTTTCACTGAAAACTTTGAATATCACTTTATTTTTAGAGTTACAGAAGAAAATGCCAAACAAAATAAGTTCACATTATCCGCAACTTTAAAGATCATGTACTTTTTTGTTGGGGTAATATAGCTGAATTCACAGAAACATCACTATTTTAGATTCGAGATTGCCGAAACTTTAAAATATTTTCTCGGTTTTTCTCTTGGTTGTTTTGGTAATAACTGTTTTTGCCGCAAGCCCCTATGATGGATAGGTAGATACAGTACCTAGTATTCTTAGTTGGCCACCCTGTACAAAAATACTCAACTTTGACAGCATGTCAAATGAGTGCTCAGAAGGTGCTTCAAAATGAGGGATCACACGAACCCCTACTCTGTTCAAAAGGTATTCCAAAGTGGTGCTTAGCCGCCATCTTGAAATATTTTACTGTCAGTTTCACGCTAAAACATAGAATTTATGCATCAACTGGTTACACAGAATTTTAGCTTTCTAACTTCAACTGTCCAAAAAATATCTAGAGACGACCTCTTCGGAATGCACTGTATATAAACTGTTTACTAGATATTAAATAATTTCTTAAGATTTCCTAAGAGATGCGTCTTAATATTCTAATATTATGATTTACTAAGCACCACAAAAAATGAGCCTTCTCGTAAGATAGGTAGTAGCAAGAGAGCTCAAAGAAACATGTTCCTTCCACATATCGTAGTATGAAACCAGATCACTGACCGCTTGACGAAAGTGACTTGAGAAAGCATGTTATTATATTCATTCTTGTAAAATTTTCACCCTACTGATACGCATCGATAAAACGAAGCAGTGCCGCATGTATCGACGTTCAGATGATAAGTAAATTTTACGTTTTCAATAGTAATAAAAATTCATGAGCAAGTATCATTTTATAATAAATGTGTAATACGTAAATTGCAAAATATACCAATGTACTGATTTTTGTGTTTTATTTTAGGAAGAATTAGATACCACTGCATGCGCTGTGGCAAGTCGTACACCATGAAATGCAATTTACGCAGGCATCAAAGAGTGGAATGTGGAAAAGCCAAAACTAATGTGTGTTTCATATGTAAAAAGAGCTATTACTACAGACAGGAACTGAATATACATATGAGTGTGAAACATAGACTTTTACATAACATATTAATGTCCAGGAGATCTGTAGATTAGTAATTCCGGATATAAACTGCCTGTAAATGTTCAGAGGGGTGAGAATTGGCAACAAAGTGACATGAAGGGACGTATTTGAGATTGGGAGCATCCAAAACTTGACAATTATCATTTTTGTTCAATTATTTTTAATATCTAGTTTCAGTATTAAAAAACTCGATTGAAAATTTTGATTTTTCAGGTTACCAAGTGTCTAAGTCAGATATGTAATTACAAGATCCCAGAATTAGTTTTTAGTTTTTAAAGTATTGTTATTCAATTGTTAGTGACCCTCTATGCATATGGACTATTCCGTATGAGTTTCTGTGCATTGGAGTTTGTAATTTTTATGGTTTTATAAACCAAAAATGGCTAACTTTAGAAGGTAGACACAACGACCGTTATTGTTCAGAATGACCCAAGAAACCTAAAGAAGTTCCAAAGTTGAAGCACTGTCTGAAGTTTTTATCTTAATTCTTTTAAATATAAACATGTCCAAATTCACTTTGATGTCACTTCATACAACTATACTCTTAAAATATTTACTATTGTATATTTTTCAAACTTTATTTAAATCCGTTATAGGGACACTAATACCTAGTTTATTACAGGTACTTTGTCTATTTGTAATGTTCAAATTATAGCTAAATCAAACTGTGACCCTCTATGCATATGGACTATTCCGCATGAGTTTCTGTGCATTGGAGTTTGTAATTTTTATGGTTTTATAAACCAAAAATGGCTAACTTTAGAAGGTAGACACAACGACCGTTATTGTTCAGAATGACCCAAGAAACCTAAAGAAGTTCCAAAGTTGAAGCACTGTCTGAAGTTTTTGTCTTAATTCATTTAATATAAACATGTTGTCCAAATTCACTTTGATGTCACTTCATACAACTATACTCTTAAAATATTTACTATTGTATATTTTTCAAACTTCATTTAAATCCATTATACGTATAGGGACACTAATACCTAGTTTATTATAGGTACTTTGTCTATTTGTAATGTTCAATTATAGCTGAATCAAACTGTATCCAGACACTAAATCGGATCATCTTGTTTAGTACGTAATCATTCTGACAGCTAAAATACCTTTTTAAAAATTATAGCTTGACAAACAAGATAAACATTCAGTGCTAAATCTGTATTGTAGCTTTAGATTCTTATCAAAGCAATGCATCCTTGAATGCTTATGTTAAAATATGTATTAGATCTCAAGGACTACGCAGATATTTTGTAGTTGTAAAATGTATAGCAAGAAAAAATAAAAATTGATCAGACTGAAAGCACGCAAGAATCATAGCTTTTTATACAGTATTGTTTATTCCAACATGGCTTAGGAAAAATTAAAACCTTCCTCTTCCCAACGCCCTCAAGTTTTCAAGTAATCATTCTGACAGCTAAAATACCTTTTTAAAAATTATAGCTTGATAAACAAGATAAACATTCAGTGCTAAATCTGTATTGTAGCTTTAGATTCTTATCAAAGCAATGCATCCTTGCAAGCTTATGTTAAAATATGTATTAGATCTCAAGGACTACGCAGATATTTTGTAGTTGTAAAATGTATAGCAAGAAAAAATAAAAATTGATCAGACTGAAGGCACGCAAGAATCATAGCTTTTTATACAGTATTGTTTATTCCAACATGGCTTAGGAAAAATTAAAACCTTCCTCCTCCCAACGCCCTCAGGTTTTCAAGTGAACTATTAGTTCTCTGTGATGGACGTATCTATAGCTTCAGTAAGTGGAGAGGAAGACCAAAAATATTGTAAGAGCCCTTGATCCGTAAGTTATTTATTCATCCCAAAATTAGTTGATAAATAATTCGCATATTTTAAGTTTGGAAATTCGGAAACTTCCTATATAAATTATTGCGATGACTTGATGTTCGAGAAAGTTATGGCATTTTCTGTGTTGAATGCTGTAGTCGACCGCCCTCGCGGAGATTATGGATAAACAATAAATAAAATTGAAGAAGGTTTTGAGGGTACCGATTCCACTAATCTTCCAAAGAAGGACATAATAATGGTTAATCGTTAAATATACTACGAGTATTACGCCAGGCTAGATAAAAAAGGTAGAAAAGCTTAGCAGAAGGTTTTAATGACAAATGCATAAAAAGATACAGCCTGATATGCGTTGTTTTTTATAAACAATGAGAAAAGCCCAAAATTCAGTATTTTGCTTATATAGTTTTCAAATTAAATTGTATAAGTAATTGGTAAACTGGGGATTTTGGAGCATTAAAATACCTTCAACATTGTATTTTAGAAATCAAAATCGATAAACAATTAAGCTAACTACGGGACTTTTTACCAATATTGAATAAATGCCTATAACTATTGCAATAACAATTCTATATGGCTAAAACTGTGTGATGAGGCCCTCATTGATATTAATATGTGTGCTAAATTTCAGCCGGATCGGCTTAATAGTTTATGTTTAAAGCTGGAAAATGCCGAAATGTATTCACCTGAACTGGAGCAGATCCTTATATAGTGAATCCAAATAACCAATACAACACTGCTACTTACAGCCACTTGTTACCGCCTATATCATCTCATTCATGACAAAACCGAATCATTTTCGTCCGTTTTCGGCTGAATCTCGAAAACATCCGAATGATAGTTTCGGTTCGTAATTCAAAAACATCCTTGGACAACTAACACAACAGATGATTAGCCAGAACAAAATTTTACAAAAAATCCATTTCTACGTTTTCCATGTCTCTGATAACGAATATGAATTGAGCTCAAATTTATGTTTTAGATGATTTCAGGGTCGCTAATGACGCACTGTGGTTCCAATACGGTTAAGCTCAGATTACAGTTTTATATCTTTGCAATGTGTAATTTATAAATTATTGTATAATGTGGCATAATCGCCATATGCAGTCAGCTGCAATCAAAATTGACATATTAACTGGGTGTCTGATAAGCATGCTACTATTTGAAAAAATATCGAATTACTAATTATTAAAAAAATACACATTGTGGTCCAACAGTGTCTTGCGTCGATTGCAACGCTCAACGGACAGGTCGTACCGCTGTCCGCGTCTACACTCCGAAAAGTGCTGTTTCAAAAGTGGCATAAATTATTTATCTTGGTGGGCATGTTATGGTAGCATTAATGTTTTAGTAACGCCTGCTATAAGAAAATGTGAGTAATCATCTTTCTTTTCCTGCTACATGCACCTTGTGAAATGTGGGAGAATGTGAATTTGTGAGACAAGGTCACCATACCTGCTCTTCTATTCAGTAGCTGCGAGTACTTCGAGTATCGAAAGTAAAAGGGGCGGTTCATGATCCACTAGCACTTGCAGTAATTGGTCCAGCTTTTCACTTATCTTAGCTGAAGTCAAGAAAAAATTGGAGTCTTGATATAAAATTATAAATAGCCAAAATACAAAAATCGAAGAAGTTGGTGAAAAGTTGAGTAATAACCTGAAAGCAACGAATTTAGCTATAGATAATTGCGCTGAAAATGTTAATGCAATCTCCTACAGTTGTGTTGTTAAAACATGTGTTCCAAAGCGCCATGCATTAATAGTTAATCAGGCTAAAAAATATGAAGCAATTTTGTTAAAGCAGCAGCTCACGCAACAAATATACCCTGGAAAACTCAGGCTGATGTCAATATCAGCAAAACTACTACTACTACTACTACTTAAATCGAAAATGCTGAGCTCAAACTAATCTACAAAAATCCTGTAAAAATGGGTAATACGCAGTGGTTCTGGAGACTGACCCTGGTAGTTTTAACCTTATCCTGAGAAAAGGAAGGCTCAATATTGAGTGTAGTTCAGAGTGTTTGAACATTTGTCGGTTGTGGAGTGTTTTACATGTTGTGAGTACGAGCATGTGCAGAAAAATTGTAAGAATGACGTTTCTTGTCCCTCACGCTCTGAGAAGCATGTACAAGAATACTATAATGAAGTGTATTTCAAAATGTTAACTGTATAAAGATGAATGAGAGATTCGACAAACATATTGATTTTAACCATTCGGTATAGGTTAGAAAATGTAGCTGTTTAATTGAAGCTGAAAGTAGTATCCGCAGTTAATCGTTGTTTAGGTAACCTGTTTATCTCTTTTTGAATATGTTCAACCCATACCCATACCTTTTTTGTAATCTCGTTTCTTTATCATCTGTTACCTCGTCTTTTTTATTATTTTAATTGTGTTAGATACTTCTGTGCTGTCTAACAATACTATAGGAATTTGATATAATTTGAAATGAATATCAAATTTTGTTGGGTGCATGGGTCCTTAACGAGTTATAGATTTTAAGGATTATACAGGGTGTTTCAGTTTATTGTTGCATAACTTTAAGATTCGATAGAACTTTTAAAATTAATGCATATAAACATGGGTCGAAAAATGCGTGGCTTTCGAAATACAGGGTGTTTAAATTTACTTTTTAAAATATTTTTTTTTTAATATTTCAAACAATATTTGATTTATAACAGTGAAAATTGGTATACAAGGGTTTTTTGACACGACAAAACGAACCATGGGCATAGTTTTACTGTAGCCGCTAGAGGGCGCTCTCTACTGTACCTGTAGTGTATTAAAATGGCCGAAAGTTTTTTCTTGGTGCAATTTTTTGCTTTTTGAATAAAAAAAGTCTTCGCACTTTTTTGCATAAAAAAGCTCTCCTGTGAGTTTCCGTTATAGTTAGCCGTTTTCGAGATATTTAGATTTTTAAGGTTCGATGCATTTTTAATTATTTATGGGAAAATAATATTTTTTTTTACATTTTCGATTTGGGCATTCCAAGTAATTAAGATGATCGTTTAGATTGTGTTTTTAAACACAGCAATAATTCCTAACTCCAAATAAACACAAAAAACAGAATATTAATTTGTTTAATTTTCTAATATTATTTTTAACAAATTAAATTAATTATTTACAACTAAAATGCTACTGGATAGTTAGGACAAACATACAAAATCTAAAGTAGTTGCTCGAAATGTAAACCCAATTGTTCAATACACAATTCACATCTACGAATGATCGAACGTGGTATAGCATTATTCAAATAAGGCCTTATTTCATCACATGCATTCCTGATTCTGTCAATTAGCATATCTCTTGTGGTTACGGGAGTCTGGTACACTTTTTCTTTTAGAAATCCCCACACAAAGAAATCTAATGGATTTAGGTCAGGGGATCGTGGAGGCCAGGCGACTGGTCCTCCACGGCCGATCCATCTTTCTGGATAATTTTCGTCCAGCCAGTTTCTAACTATTATCGAATAATGAGCTGGGCAACCATCAAGCTGGAACCAGGCTAATCTTCATAAATCTAACATACATCATCCCACATATTTGCATGTTCAGCTTTTAAAAATTCCAAGAAGGTCGCAGCATTTAACCTTGAAGGCAAAAGGTAGGGTCCAAATAGTCGATTACGGTAGATACCAATCCACACGTTCACACTAAATTCATGCTGAAAATTTCTTTCCCGAACTGCATGCGGATTTTCATGCGACCAAATATGTTGATTATGAAAATTTACCACTCCACGTCTAGTGAAGCATGACTCATCGGTCCATAAAACGTTACTTAAAAACTCCCTATTATTATCAGTTCTATCAAGAATCCACTGACAAAATGTGATTCTTCGTTCTCCGTCCCCTGGCTGTAGTCCTTGCACAAGTTGCAAATGGTAAGGACGTCTATGGTCATTTCTAAGAACACGGTGAACATGCTGAAATTCCCAAGGCACCAGAAACTCTCCTAACACTTGTGGCCGGATCTCTATCAAACTCACGCAGAATCAAACGGGTAAATCTGCGCTGACGAACATTTATGTTTTCATCCCTTTGGAGACTTCCAAAACCATTTTCAATTATTTGGCGATGCACTCTTACAAATACTGAGCGAGTTGGATGTCATCTGTTTGGGAATCTTCGTGCGTATTCTCTGGCTGCTTCTGCTGCGTTTCCATTTACAAAGCCATACACAAAATGAATATCCGCTAACTCTTGATTGGAGAATAAAAATGGCATTTTTATAAAACTTACAAAAAAAACAGGTAAAAGAAACTAAATTTCGTGCATTCACAATTGCAAAAAACGTTTCAGGTTTCAACAGACAACAAAACTAACTGTCAACTAATTGACGTTCAACCTTATTCTGCTTTCAATTTCATAAATATTTGCTGGCACAGCCTACTTCTAAAAATTATCGAGATACTGACTTTTTAACGTTATTTTATCATAAATAATTAAAAATGCATCGAACCTTAAAAATCGAAATATCTCAAAAACTGCTAACTATAACGAAAATTCACAAGAGAGCTCTTTATGTTGAAAAGTGTGAAGAATCAGTTTTTTATTCAAAAAGCAAAAAATTGTACTAAGAAAAATTTTTCGGTCATTTTAATACACTACAGGTACAGTAGAGAGCGCCCTCTAGCGGCTACAGTAAAACTATGCCCATGGTTCGTTTTGTCGTACCAAAAAACCCTTGTATACCAATTTTCACTGTTATACATCAAATATTGTTCGAAATATTTAAAAAAAAAACTATTTTAGAAAGTAAATTTAAACACCCTGTATTTCGGAAGCCACGCATTTTTCGACCCATGTTTATATAGACTTAAAGCATTAATTTTAAAAGTTTTATCGAGTCTTAAAGTTATGCAACAATAAACTGAAACACCCTGTATAATGATATAAGATTTTGATTATATTGGGCCGACTATTGAAAGCTGGCTAACGCTCCAAATATAAAGTCAGGACATTCACATCTCAGGGAATCAGCTTTTATAAGATAGGTCTGGATGGCTTTAAATACACTCAATTAATCAGTATTTTTGCTGATGAAGAACTCACCGATGAGGAAAAAGGCCTTGAATAGATCTGGGTGAACGTCAAAGTCAATCACACTTGCTTCGCAGTTGGCGTCATATTATGTAAACCACGAACTGTTACTGATAGATCACTGTCTGCACTCGAAAAAAAGTCTAGAAAAACTTGATCCCATTTTCAGGAACGTAATTTGAATGGATTTTTTCCAGCACAGATTACTCTAGTTCCCAATATTTAGCAAACATTATTAACGATTTTTAACATTCTCAAGGAATTCATCTCAAGTACACTCGTGTTACTAGGAATACTAGAAGTTTGACTGACATTGTGATGATTTCTAATAATGTTAAAACGGCAAAGTTAATCTCTCTAAGATATCTTATCCCTATTTAGTATACTTCGGTATAAAATGTCTGCCACCCTCCTAAAAGTCTAGATTTCTAAAGTTCATAGATCTAAAAAACTTAGATTTTGATCTTCTGCAGCAAGTCGCTTCTGATCAATACTAGCTTGGAGTTGTGCACCTGGAGGTTAATGATCCAAAGATCAACTATTCTTATGACCTGATCAGTAATGTCAAAATTAGGAAAGTGATAAGACCTTCTCATCCCTCGTTTACACTAGTCATACAACTCATATTGTGAGTCAGAAACAGAGCCTACTATACTTACGAAAAATAAGTTCGAGAAACCGTGTTATGAGAAAATATTTAGCCTCTCATTCGCTAAAATATGAATGAGAGATATAAAAACTAATTAAGCTTTTAGGAATACTAGCTACTATACGATCCAATGGTGAATATGAAAGAATCGTTAGAATGTGATTGCATTTGTCGATACGCTTGCTAAATATTTTCCAATGTGCTATTTTCACATTCAATGGAAAATATATTTCTTGGACTGCAAATGGATGATAAATATTTCCACCATAAATGTTCAAAAAAAATGATAAAAAATGCTTAACTTCATGCTTGAAGCTCATCCAAAAATAATTATCTGTGGCATCGCCGCATTCTCATCTTGCCAAATAACAACAGCATGTGGTTAAACGTCATTTTGTCCCTGCGTAGCCAGTCTATCTGTCTCTAATTTTAATCGCCTTGTTTAGCTGATATGTGTGCTCTTTGGTATAGCTGTACAAACAACTCACAAGTAATCTTGGTGAAGCAAACTTGTTCCAATTTCTTCTAACATAGGTAATCATCCTACAATTATGGGAGACCCGCACGGGTATTACGTATCTTGAAAAGTGACATTTCGTCACTTTTTTGACATTTCGTAGGTTTTTTGTGACAACGTAGGTTTTTCTACAAGATGTTAACTTAGTACGAGCTGTTGTACACTTGTTGTGAACTCTGCTGTACGTGTTGTTTATACGTCAGCGAACACCGATCATAGCGAGCAAACGTGGAATGAACTATTCGCACACTAAAAACTACCTAGTCTGCAAGATGACATTTCGTCGGTTTTATTCACGTTTTTTAGGTTTTTTACATAATATCCGTGCCGGGCATTACGAACACCTTAAGTACTGTGCTGATATTACAGGAATGTTAATCAATATATACTAAGTGACTTATAAATCCGAACACCCAGTTTAAATGGTTTTATTTTAATAAAAGTTGGTGAATGTATTTATCTTACTGTAAATAACAAGTGAAAAAATTTTCAGCCTTATCAGTTGGACATTCCGGTTTTTATACTGCTTTTTTTTAATTCACTAACGCTCTAAAAATGAATATTTCAGCCGCAGAAAAGAATCAACGTTGGCGGATTTTGGTTCTTGACATCCTTTACGATCAGTTACGATGCCTAGAGTACGGAGACCTGTACGATTTCGTCAACTTTGTGAGTTTGATTGGGGACCGTATAGCGGGACTTCGGGAAGCTGGACTTTCTTTTCGGGCAATTGCAGTTAGAGTGCAAAGAAGTGTAGACACTGTGGTTAGGTGTTGTCAGGCATGGCTTCGAGAAGGCCCTACGCAAAGAGCAAGGGGCACTGGACGCCGCCGTAGAACAACAGACCGTGAAGATCGCCGCTTAAGATTATTGGCCTTAAGGGACCGTTTCTCCACTACCAGGTCCATTGCAAATGAATGGTTTGCAGAACACGGAGGACCTATTGGAATGCGAAGTGTTTACCGACGAATGAGAAGTTTTGGCTTGTTTTCATACCGGCCACACTGGGTCCTCCCTTTAACTCGAGAACACCGACGTAATCGCCTTGAGTGGTGCAGACAACGGTCACTCTGGGATCAGGAATGGAACAGTATTGTCTTTAGTGACGAGTCTCGATTTTGTTTAGGCATGCACGATGGTCGTGCCAGGGTTAGAAGGCGACGTGGTGAAAGGAGGAATCCACAGTTTTTTGTTGAAAGACATGTTCATCACACTGTTCGAGTTATGGTTTGGGGTGCTATAGCTTATGGTTCCAGGTCACCTTTAATCTTCATCAGAGGTGACATGAACGCGCAGCGTTATATCCACGAAGTTCTAGAACCCCATCTTTTACCCTATCTTGACACCCTGGCAGATCCAACTTTCCAACAAGATAATGCCCGACCACATGTTGCAAGAGTCACAATAGACTTCTTTCAACATAATGATATCACATTGTTACCATGGCCACCAAGATCTCCCAACTTATCCCCAATTGAGCACGTGTGGGATATGATGGGTAGGAGATTGCTCAATTTGCAACGTCCTCCTCAGACTCTAGAAGCACTTCGAGAGGATTTGGTGGTTGGTGTTCGGATTTATATGTCACTTAGTATATTATTGGGGAAAATATCTGACTAGATTTTGTGATTATGCCTCTTACAAAAATCAACAGTAACTGCAGTGCAGATTATTTTCTTTGCCCGGGTCCCCACGGTAAAGCGAATACAGACATTGTACAGAGTGATCACTCGTGAGAAATTTTATATAAAACATAATGAAAAATAATCACCAGTGCTCTCAAACTCTACACATCCATGACAGCGCCTATAGTATACAGGGAAAACCAAATTTGTCTGACCGCTTGAGTTCGATGTTTACGATGTATATATACATAAAAAAATTAATTATTCAAAAAAATATTTACTCGAATCTGAAATTTGGAAATATTATTTGTTGTATTAAGAGGATAATTATAATTGTTTAGCAAAAACTAATAAAAAAAATTTGTCCAATGACATGCAATGAAACGGTTTTTATTTTTATTTTCTCGAAAACGAAAATGATACAAGAGGCAAAAAAATCGTATTTTTAGATGCTTAGTTGAACAACAAATAGATATAACAGTTAGGAAAAAGGCAGTGGCGTACATTTTTGGCCAATAATATTCGCTAAGGTGCCCCCGGAACGCCACTGGACCTAATAATTTTAATATATTTAGGGATCACTTAGCTTCTTGATAGAACAGATAATATTGCCCAATTTCAACGTAATCGAGAAATTTTTTTTAAATATTAATAGAAGGAGATTTTTTTAATTGTATCACCCTGTATATGGAAAACTCTTCATATACGAACCCATGTTTATAGAAACTTTTTTCAATATTTTTTAACAAGGAATCGCCCTCTGAAATATCGCCGCACATTGTGTAGGAAAGCCCGTCAAACCAGCATCAAAAAAAGTCGATCATAGCAATATTAGAAAACTGCAATTATAAGAATATTTATTTAGAAAAATTTAATGTTTTCTCTAAAACTGCTGCGGAAAGATTGACAAGTATGTGTATGTACTTGGCTGCGATGCCCGACTCATTGTTTTCTTATAATCGGAGATATTCGCTTTATTCAGTGTATTCGCTGTGCCCGGGGTATTCGCTTTGCCCGGGTCTCCCCTACTATTGCTGCTAGCTGTACCTTATACATTATAGCTTTTATATTAATAGGAGATCCTCGTTCTTTGTAACTATCTTTCTGTTTTTCAGGTGATTTGATATACATCTGTGAAGTATGCGACAAGGCGTATAAAAGTGCAAACTCCCTTTACTGTCATAAACTCAGATACTGTAGGAAAACCGAGAAACTTATTTGCCCAACAGAAGGTTGTGCTTACAAGACGTTATCCAAAATCGCTCTACGAAAACATTATGTTTCTTATCACATTGACAACGAGCCTAGAATGAAGCAAGGAGGAATATATTCGACAGGGTATTCGCATATTCGTGATGTGGAACATCAGATATTGGATTCTAAGCGGTATCATATATAAGATTTAGACTTTGCAAATTAAATTATAAAAATGCTAAACAGAAAGACATGTTTATTGAAATCGGATCACTATGTGCAGTTGTTATCGTCTAAAGATTGCTTCGTTTAGGTTTCCTTCATTCTTTTTATTGAACCTGTTCATCGCATTTTGCATGAAGCATAATAGGACCAGCTTCTCTTACTTAGTGACGGATATTTCCTTCCAAGTTAGCGATATTTGTTAGAGTAATAGTCAACATTGTGCTTGCGAGGTGCCTCCACAGGCAAACATCCACGGGTGTCAATGTTATGATCCCGGTGTTTAAATAAGTAAAAAAATAATCAGATATCATTTGTACAGGGTATCCGAAAAATAGATGCAGATATTTTAGAGGGTAATTTCTTGTTGAGAAACATGAAAAAAAAGTTTATATAAACATGAGTCCGGAAATGCAAAGTTGTCAAGGTACAAGGTGATAAATTTAAAAGAAAAGTCTGTTACATCAATACGCTAAATTCAAATAAAATTATCCGTCGCGGAATAAATATCTTGATGAACTGTTATGTAAAAGATAAACTGCACTTCAATTTCAATAAAAATATTTTCTTATTAGTATGCGTAGTATTTGTTATACAATTTGGAAATCTCAACAACTAAGAAGTGTCTTGTAGTTTGAGACATTTGCAACATTGTATGATTGCTAATGACTGTAAAAATAAGTATAACGTTATGTTAGCTATATCAATAGTTTACTTACTTCTTCTTATACAACGTACATTTGGACTGACCAATGATGTTACTGTAAAAAAAATCAAATGTTTGCACTTTTATTTTGACTGTGACAGGTAAACCATCAATAAAGCATTTTTGGTTAATATTTAGTTTCACCAACCGTATTGTGCACGCAGGGGTTTCAGTTGTGATGTCCAGTGTTCTCACTGTATACAGTAGTAGTAATAGTAGAAAACTGTACCTTACCCAAGGATGTCAAATTAATTATAGGAAAAAGAAAAATTACATGTAGAGAATGCGGCTGGTATTACAAACACAAGAGTACTTTCCACTGGCATCAGAAGTATGGATGTGGAAAGACACCGCAAATTCCTTGCAGATTCTGATTTCTGACTTTGTTACAAAGCAGAAAGTATACTTGAAGCGCCTTGTAATGAATAAATACAAATTTGACTTTCCATTTACAGACTTACATTTTAAAGCTCCTCAAATGAGTTTAAATTCTCGAAATAATCTCATCAATAGGGTCACGCAATATTATTTCGAGGATTCACGTATCTCCCCGCTTGTTAAGCTCTCGATATGGTAATAGAGACTTTTAACAATCACAAATACCGCGTTATGTCATCGCTAATGTTAACCTTATGCGACTCAAAGTCATTGTTTGTGTTTATAACCCGGTTTCAACGGAATATGCTTCAGGCTTTTGTGAAGCTAGGAATGCTATACTTATGAGAAATTAGGTAAGAATGATCAGACCTCCTGGGTCGGTCACCTTCAGCTTCCCATATTTACGAGCGGATACCCAAAAAAAAACAGAATTATTTTTTAAAAGCTATTTATTTTCAACTTTTTCACAAAGTAACCTTATTTCCTTCAAAATACTGTTCACTACAACTAATACACTTGCCCCACCGGGTCTTCCACTGCTCGAAACATTTTTGGAAGTCTTCGTTAGAAATGGCTGACGGCTCCTCCCTCGCTTTTTTCTTGACCTCCTCAGTGTCGTCAAAACGGCGTCCTGTCACGCCCCTTTTCATCCGTGGTGCGTGAGGCAGCGGAACCATGTCTTTTTTAGCCAGAAACTGTCGAACAGAGATGGCTTAAAACCTCCACATAGCACAAGCTCTCGAATTTTTTCAACATTTCCGTCGATTCGGGCAGTTGATGGACGGACGTCTATAGCGAGGTTTGTCATCAATCTACTACGCCTCTAGGAGCAGAAATTTGTACTACACAAGCTCTGCCCACTGCAATGCTATTCCGGTTATTTTTGGGTACCTCCTCGTATATTGTGTGCATTCTACAGTGCTGCATGAATTTCGCAACCGTCAATTTTATTATTGGGTTGTCGGAAAAGTCATGACGCTTTTTTTTTTGTTTATTTTAAGGCCATTTTATTCATATACAGCACAAACTTCAATCAATAATGTATTGCTCATTTTGATCGATGACCTTTCGCCATCTTTCAGGCAGCTTCATAATTCCTCGCTCGTAGAAGGATTTGTCTTTACCGGCAAAAAATTGAACAAGGTGCTGATGTACAGCTTCATCTGAAGTAAAGCGTATTTCTCGCAAGGAATTTTGAAGCGACCGAAACAAATGAAAATCAGATGGGGCAAGATCAGGCGAGTATGCTGGATGTGGTAACACATCCCATCCTAACTCCAATAACTTTTGACGAGTGAGCAAACTTGTGTGCAGTCTCGCGTTGTCATGGTGGAACACAACTCCTTTGCGATTAATGAGCTCCGGACGTTTTTGCATGATGGATTGTTGCAAACTGTCCAATTGCCGACAATACACAGTTGTATCGATGGTTTGGTTCTTTGGCAGGAGTTCGAAAAACACGATCCCTTTAAAATCCCACCAAACAGAGAGCATCACCTTTTCCTGATGACCAAGACCGTTTGCAAACCACATTGTTGTAAACAATCCACTTTTCATCTCCCGTTATCAAGCGCTTTAAGAAAGGATCGTTTTCCTCACGTTTAAGGAGCATATCGCAGATGTCTACACGCGCCGTCAAATGAACCTCTCTCAGTTCGTGTGGTACCCAACGATCGAGTTTGCTTACGTATCCCAGTTTCTTCAAATGGTCGTGAACGGTTGAATGATGGATTTTCAAGGTTTCTGCAATTTCCCGTGTGGTGTAATGTGGGTTTGCTCCAATGCCTTTAATTCGTCACTATCCAACTCAGTAGGCCGCCCTGATCGAGGTGCGTCATGGATATCAAAATCCCCATCTCGGAATTTTTTAAACCATCTCTGGCATTGCCGTTCTTGTAGTGCATGTTCTCCATAAACCTTTCTCAACTTTTCACACGCTTGTCTTGCGTTCTTGCCTTTGCGGAAGCAATTCAGCAAAATGTGAGGAAAATGCACAGCTTGGTCGTCCATCTTCAACGTCCTCTAAAATCGACGAGACTCAAATAAATCACTTAATTTTTTGGTGCAAATGAAGCTTGAAGTGTCAACTGTCAAACTACACAATCAACATACAAATGTCATTGACTCACGTACTTCCAACCATGCAATGGCATACTTTGTTGCATATACGTCATGACTTTTCCGACAACCAATATTATTATTTCTTTGGTTTCACCACTCCAGTGTGACTACATTGAAATTTAGTGCGACAAATTTTATTAAACAATTAAAAAATAAAAAACTTATCCCCAGTCGTAACCCTGTTTGTCCAATTATGCTAACGCGGTAGCGACGACGGGCGCGAAATATCAAACATTATGAAACGCGCCTTTGCGTCTCTAGTGTAGTGACTGAGGCGGACGTAGCGATACAACGCGCGTAGTTTTCAAACTTCCCTGTTTCGCGCTTTCTGGCGGCAGTAACAAGCCAGTTCGGTATATATATGACTTCGAAGTTGAGCCATTTATTTTAACAGTGAGTAGATCTGATCAAAAGAAATGTTTTTTTCCTTTAACATTTTTGTGGTAAAATTAAAGTAACAAAGTTATAGCCATTTAGAAGTTTGAGTACCGCCCTGCCTCAATAATAATATTATGTGCTCGTGTTTGGCAACAACGGATATATCGGTTCATCGCATCGGAGACAAAAAAGCGAACGAATTTGAAACGCGATGTTTTTAACAATTTTATTCAGTTGTATTCAGTCAATGTATCAGTCGGTAACGCGTGAGTGTGTTTGTTGCGTGGCTCAAACGAAATAAAAAATGGCACATGTTTACGAAAATGCTGAACTTGTGGACATTTACAAAATGCTGCCGCGGCATCACGGATTTATGCGGATCGGTTTCCCAATCGAGTGCAACCAACCCCTCGTGCCTTTGTTAATGTAGTACAAAGGGCTCGTGAATCAGGTGACTTAAGACCTCACAGGGGAGGGCATGTCGGTGCTCCAAGACCGCACGATCAAATACAGGTCCGCACTGAAATACTTGTCGGGAGGATACTTTATAAAACAAGTTAACATTTTTTTTTTATTTTTTTTTTATTTTTACACACATATTTTGGTTTATCTTCCTTCTACAATCATTATCTGAAAATTAATGACTCAACTTCAAAGTATAAGTATAACAAAAGGTTCCTTATATACTTAAATTGTAATTCCAAAAATAAATCTACTAATGAAATGTGCTACCATCTGCCCCGGTGGTATTTTTCCAAATAGGTCGACCTTTTTTTGCTCTTCCGTTTAAAATCTGCGGCACTTTCCTTTTGATACCTAACCCCCCCCCCCCCCAGGCGGTACTGCTGACTACGCCCATATCATGGATATTGGGACGATCACGTTTAGATACAGTGACCCAATTAAATTCTGTTGGTCATCGAGGAGCCCAAAAGATATACCATAAGCTGTATCAATTTCGTTTTAGGTTAGCTCTTATACAAGTATTTAATCAGTTCACACTTTTGAAAATTTTCCATTTTCTGAGACAACATAAAGTAGGTACGTCTACCCCAAACCGTTGGTCACGTTTTCTAAAACCAACGCTTTCTGAATGTTCCAGAAACTTATCAAATCGCCTGGTTTTTGTCACTTTGTGTCGTGAGACACATGAACTCATGTACAAGGACAAAGTGTTAACAGTGGCGTACGATATCTTGTACTACTTTCTTACAATTATGCGTGTTGTTATATTTTGTGAGAAAATAATATTGGAATGTCCAGCCAGCTTTAAACGAATCAAATATATTCTTTATGATGTAAACTCCAAATCTCTGAATTTTAACTTACCGTTTCAGACAATTAATAAGACTATGTTTTATTTTAGGAAAAGTTGGCTTCAAATGTGGACAATGCGGAAAATGCTACAAATATAAAGGTGGTCTTTCAACTCATCAAAAGTTCGAGTGTGGCAAGCCCCCACAGTTTCCTTGCAGCTACTGCAATTATGTTGCGAAACAAAAAGGAAACCTGAAGCTACATATAAGAAATAGGCACAAAATTAACCCTATATTATAATCCAAATCTAATAAAAAAGCCTAACGAAGTTATGTATTTAACGTAATGATTATTTTGAATTGCTGATGAAATTTCAATAAAATATTATATGTACGTTTATCCGACCAAAAGAAGTGATCCTGTACTTAGAAATCCTAACCTGCTTTGTGTTTCTTCAAAGGTGGTATTGACACCCTATCATGACGCCATCTGATCCACCAGAGAGAACGACTATCTATCGGCGACCACTGAAATTTCAGAGTCTGGAACCTTCCCGATACTCTCTGGAAGGCTCGAAAACAGGCCATACAATATAAAAGCAGACGATTAAGTTATTTTATGATGTTACAAGTTAGTAGTGTTAAGTAATAACATATTAGTTTGGTTGATGATTGGTGCTTCCGGTTTTTTTACACCAGAGCAGCCGCGCAGGCCTAAAGCCTAAAGGCCAGGACACCGCGGCTGCTGATGCAGATTGTTCCACAATCTCGATACCCTAGGGACAAAGCAGCGGTCGTATTGGCCGAGTCTGTATGCAAGAACTTCGACATTATTATGATGGGAGGCTAAAGTAGGAGAGAGTTCGATTGCCGGTTCGAAAGGGTTCCGAGACTGTCCGTTAGAGAAGAGTCATCGATCAGTCGGACAGCTCTCCTCTGAACAACATGCATAATGTAGTTGGGGCGGTAGCACCGCAAACATGTGAGCAGTACCCGAGGCTAAGTCTCATCTGGGCTCCTTGTACAGAGTGAGGAGGTTATGTGGAGAAAAGTACTTCTTAGCCCTAAACAGGTAACCTAGCTTTTTCTCAGCTCTCCTCAGTAGTCTAGACGCCGACCAGCCAAAATGAACCTTTCATTGGTAGAACTCGGTCAACCATCGAAACTGGATGAACGCTAGGACCCTTCTTGTTCTTGTTCGGCAATGTTCAAGTACTGTGTTTACATTACACTGTATCGGATTCTTTCTTCGAGAAGCAGCGATAACCTCCAGGTCTCTGATCAGAGAGGAAGACGGTAGTAGTCTTTTATCCAGCTCACCAGCAGAGATCTTAATTCCTGCATGTAGAGTGCTGTCATCAGCAAAGATGTGGACTGGATTGACCATATAGGAAAGAAGGTCGTTGATATGTAAGAGGAACAGTGTCGGAGCCAAGACCGATCCTTGGGAACGCCTGCGTTGACGTTGTGGGATGAAGATGAGAACCCTGTATTCAACTGAAAGGCCAAGGCGGAAGTGCTAGCCAAGATCTTTGCTGCCAACTCCACCATGGACGTCTCCCCCAACGCCCAAGTGCCGTCAATTCAAAGGGTTCCCTACACTATGCGGAAGGGAATATTCAGGCATAAGACCGTGAGAGGAGTGTTCTTGTCGCTCGACATCAACAAAGCTTCTGGTCCGGACTTGATTCCTGCCATTGTACTGAAGAGGTGTGCACCCGAGCTTGCTCCAGTTCTTTCACGTCTCTTCCAGATATCTTATGAATCCGGCACCTTCCCAGAAAACTGGAAATTTGCTCATGTCCAACCCATCCCAAAAAAGTGATCTGAGACCGACCCTTACAACTACAGGCCTATAGCTCTGCTTTCTGTTTTAGGTAAGGTGATGGAGAGGTGCATAAATCGCGAGCTTGTGGACTACCTCGAACGTCACGGCTTGATTAGCGACAGGCAGTATGGTTTCCGGCACCAACGATCCTCAGGGGACCTCCTAGCTTATGGCCTCCCAGAAAAGCTTTGCAGATGGGTGGCTGACTTTATCTCTGGCCGCAAGATATCCGTCGTAATTGACGGGTTCTCCTCTTCATCCCACAACGTCAACGCGGGCGTTCCCCAGTGATCGGTCTTGGCTCCGACACTGTTTCTCTTACATATCAACGACCTCCTTTCCTGCACGATCAACCTAATCCACAGCTTCGCTGATGACAGCACTCTACATGCAGGAATTCAGAGTGATAAGCCGATCTCTGCCACTGAGTTGGAAAAAAGAAGACTAGCGATGACTCTCTGAAAAGAGATCTGGAGGCTATCACTGCTTGGGGACGCAACAATCTTATACAGTTCAATGCTTCCAAAACGCAGTACTGTACTTTGACGAACAAAAAGCGTCCCTGCGCTCACCCGGTTTCGATGGATGGTCGAGTTCTGCCAAAGAGCCATTCATTTCGGCTGGTCGGAGTCCACATCACCGAGGACCTGATCTGGCACGAACACATCTCGTCAATAGTTGCAGCCGCTGGGAAAAAGCTAGGCTATTTGTTTAGGGCTAAGAAGTACTTTTCACCGCATGACCTTCTCACTCTATACAAGGTCCAGATAAGGCCTAGCCTCGAGTATTGCTCACACGTTTGGGGTGCTGCCGCCCCGACAACATTATCCATGCTCTCGATGCTGTCCAGAGGAGGGCGGTCCGACTGATCGATGACTCTTCTCTAACAGACAGTCTTGAGACTCTTTCGCACCGGCGGGCTGTCGGCGATCTAGCTCTTTTCTACCGTTACACCAACAGGCTTTGGTCCTCAGAGCTCTCTTCCATGATGCCGCCGCGCGATGTGCCTGCCAGACAGACCCGCCTAACTTTGGCGTCCCATCCTAAAAGTGTCGAACTTCGTACATCCAGAACCGGCCGTTACGACCGCTTCTTTGTCCCGAGGGTGTCGAGATTGTGGAACAATCTACAAGAGGAAGCTTTTCTCAGTTCTATTAACCTTAGGCAGTTCAAAAATCGTATTAATAAAATTTCTTTGGTATCATCATAGCAGCCGCGGTGTTCCGGCATTTAGGCTTTTGCCTGCGCGGCTGCTTCGATATAAAAAAAAACATGCTGCTCGGACACTTTCGTGATATCAAGTGCAACTCCATGAGCATCACCATAAGACTGGGAGTTACATGACGTAAGCTAGGAGATCCCCTGTGGATCGCTGGTGCCAAGTACCAGACGGCCTGTCGGTAATCAAGCCGTGAAGTTCTAGGTAGTTCAGAAGCTTTCGACTTGTGCACCTCCCAATCGCCATACTTTTAACAGAAAGCAGAACTATAGGCCTGTAGTTGTAAGAGCTGATCGTAGATCTTTTTTTTGGGGATGGGTTGGACATATGCAAATTTCCAGTTTTCTGGAGTGCAGTGTTAAGATATCTGGAAGAGACGCGAAATAACTGAAGCAATCTCCGCTTCACATCTTTTCAATACAACGGCAGGAATTAAGTCCGGATTAGAAGCTCTATTGATGTTGAGCGACAAGAGCACACGTCTTACGGGCTTATGCCTGTATGTTACGTTTCGCATAGCTTAGGGAACCTTTCCAATCGACAGCACTCGGGCACGGGGGGACGCCTATGGTGGAGGTAACAGCAAATAAGATCTTGACAAGCACTTCCGCCTTAGCCCTTGAGTCGGTTACAATTGTTCCAATCTGGCACGTAAGTGGTGGAAGGCTACTCTACGAGAAGATACTTTCAATGTGCTTGGCCAGTGTTCAGAAAGACCGACTGCCGTTGCGCTGCGACACTTCCGTATTTTACATTGTGCTGGTTTTTGGCGTTGCGGATTTATTTGGTTCTGGACTCGACGTCAACTTGTCTGTCCTCTACAGTGGGATCTTTTAGAAAGGTTCTGTGTGCTTTGACCTTCTGCTGACTGAGCAGTGCTGCACGACTTATTGGACCAGCCGTTGGACCCTGGTTTAGCTACTTTACCTCTATGAGGTATGTATTCCTGCATCCCAGCGTGGATAATTTCTATTATTGATGAACAGACAATCGACGCATTTGGGTCTGCGAACAAACATCTTTCCAAGGAAAGGTGGAGAGAAGGTTTCTGAGCTCTCCCAGTCGACAATTCCGTAATGCAAAATTTTGCGGCGTGGACGAGTGTCTGCTGGCACAGCCGGTTCTGACCGAAACCTAACCTCCATAAGCATTGCTGTAAGAGACAGGATGCTTGGTAGGAAAGAGATCCAGCAGACTACTGGCGTGTGATAAAACGCTTCAACCGCACGTTCTACTGCATCGGTCTTGCTTGCCAACCAGAGCTCATTATGGGCATTGAAATCGCCGAGGATTGTTCAGAAAGTTGATCTTAACAGCGACATATTCAAGTAGGTTATCGCAGCAAATAAATTTTGGGATGTTTTAGAGCTGAATCGAAGCCACAGAATGTCCTTCCGGCCCAGATATCTCTGGAGCATGAAAAACTGCTGCGGATGAAAGCCACATCATCCCCGTACTTCCCAGTGGCGGATTTAGAAGGGGGCGCGGGGAGCGCGCGCCCCCCCAGACGTCTGACTAGTTGCTTTTGTGTTACTTTCTGACACATCATGTCGACAGAGGCATACTAATTCTAAGTTATAGCTATAGTAGGAACTGGGCACTGCGCTCTTTTGGTATCCTTTGGTATTCCAAACGACGTCCCTCTTTGATATCACTTACGTTCACAGCACAATTCTTTCGATTTATACGTATTTACGAGTATTGTGACTTGTAACAAATCTAAGTCTGAGTAATATATTAGCTATACAGATTGCACTTAAAAAGTGATTTATGTTCTATTTGTTGCTCAATAGTAATTTGAAAAGTATGTAAAGCTTGTCTGATTTTGTTCGGGGTTGGTGTTGCAGCGAAGTACTATGTTAGATGAACGCCTAAATTGGAAATAGACATTTATGAGATTTCTTTAGCGGTGCGCCTGTGGCCTGTTCAGAAGATGCGTCGATCGATGCTGAACGTCAATACCACACGTCCCGCATCTCTTCCCACGTATGTGTCTATTTATGTTGCTATAGTGAATTTGTTTAAATCACAGAGCTTCTGCACTACACGTGAATATGTACAGACCTGTACTTCTGTACTTGTTTTACGATCTAACAGATCCAAAGGTTTCCAATATTTTTACATGCTATCAACACCGATTCGAAAACGGAGAAAATAATAACTATGCAGTAAAGTTCGATAACGAAAGTCTTGAGAATAACTGTAACATCTACACTTTTTCACTTTTGCATCAATTTCGTTATTTTTTTTTGTCAGCTTGGTAATTTTATTGTCATCATTATCGACTGACGATCTTACAAAAAAATGAAAATGTTTGTTGTTATACAGGATGAAACTAAAAGGTGCATTTTGCCATGAATTTCTGAA